AAGTTTATTTATATATATCTATATATTTTAAGTAAAATATCTGTTTTTACCAAAATACGATATACAGGCACATGGCTGTAAAACAACTTTAAACCAATCCACTATAAAATTACTTTTGGTAATAAATAATCTGATTCTCAGAGAAGCAAAACGCTCCTTTTCCCTCCGCCGACGCACCACCAGAGGCACAGTTCCTCTGCACTTCCAGACCTCTCCCTCCCTCTCCCACCTGCATTCCCCTCGTCCTTCTCACTCAGCCTTGCCCAGGGCAGAAGCAACGCGTGCTCTTTAGCTGGCACAAGGCGGAATCCTGCTCCTACCAAGTCACTCACAACTGAGAAGCGATAATAAACATGTGCCGAAAGAAATCCGCAAAGGCAGTGGGGCAGATACTCACAACAGGCTTTTATTCTTGAAGGAACAGCGGCTGTTACTGATGCGGCACGCTCTGCACTGCTCGGGGGGCTCCTCTGGGCCGGCCAGTCGCACTGAAGTCTGCTCTCAATGCGAACGAAAGCAGGATCTTTAACAGCAAAACATCTACGCGTGCATGCGGGCAGCTGGCACATTAGTAAGTCAACAGGAATGCAGAGACACTCCTTAATCCCCCAAAAGATCTGTCAAGTTCAGAAATCTTGAACTAAATCTCCTGTCTTGGCAGAGCAATTGTTTGGAGGGGAAAAAAGAAAAAAAAAAAAAAAAAAGCAGCAGCTTACTTTCACTCCTAAATACAAAGCAGATACATGTGTCTGATGTGTTCCTCCCCTGCTCTGTTTGTGGACATACAGCTCTTCAAAGCACTTGCAATACATTTGGTCACAGAAACAGTATTGCTCGAAAAGTCCAAGATACTAAAAAATGGAAGAGAGCCACCTCAGGAATGTATTATCTCTCTGCTCTGGAGATTTTTGCCGCTGTCCTCTGCACTGGTATCCCTCACGCAGAGGCTGACTGCAGCTAGTCTAACATTACTGAGTTACCCAGAGCAGCTTTCAGCTCTGTACATTAGATTTTTTTCCCTTGTTTGCAAGATCAGCCTTGCTATTACCACCTGCGGAGCTCCCTCAGTCCCAGGAACAGCAGCAGCCAGCACAGATCAGCTACGGACACGAAGCAGCCACTGAACATGGAGCGGGCAGGACTAACCGAGGGCTCTGCCACTGCTAGCATTGCTGACCTGTAGTCTGAACAGTTACTGAAAAATCTAACATAGATAAAGCTTTTACAAAAGAAGCCTCAAGACGAAAAAGTTGTTCAGACGGATTCCAAGCTTTTTAGCTTTTAGAAAAAAGCAGACTTGAAGCACAGCATGGAGTTACAGCACAAGGAAGGCGGCGGGGCAGGGGAGGTGCTTCACGACAGCATGCCAGGGATGAATCCTGGGGTGGCACCTTCATCCCGTCCTTCGAGGGGAAGCCTGACCAGAGCTACTGAAGTTGTAGCTTTTGAAGATGATTATTTGAAGCCCAATTTCCTGTCATTCCCCCCATCTATTTCCTATGGTCCTTAAAAGACATCTCTGCACATCTCCCTGGGGAATAGCCTTGAGGGGTTTAGGAAGTCATGACTTGACAGATATTATTTTGATCAACTACCCAAAGAAAGCATCCTGCAATTTCTCAAGAAAGCACTCCAGGGAGCAAGTCCAGTCTGTCCAGCTCACAGAAGTTAGTGCTCCATTTAAGTTTGTGCATGAAGCTAAATGACACGACATCCCGAGAGTGATTAAAAAACCAGAGCTTTAAAGACTGATAACACTGTACTCCCCTCTCACTGTTACTTTGAGAAGTCAAAGGGGAAAAAACAAAAGGCAACAGCAGTAACTTTGGCTAGATGTTCTAAAGCCAGTTTGAACAGGAGGACAAATAGAGGTGCCTACTGTGGGAGCGGGATTCATTTGAACAGATCACGTGCAGCAGGCGGGGAGCTAGGCAGAAGTAGTCCAGTGAGGACACACTCAGTCCAGGTCATTCTCCTCTCCCCTTGAATTCAGTACTGCCTGGTGGTGGCAAGTCTTCTCCGCTAACATAAGCGATAAAGGTACACAGAGGAAGGGAGAGCAAGACCAGAGGGAAGGCATTAGGCCTGAGAAGAAAAGGATTTGTTCTCCCTTAAACATGGTTCAGTCTTTGCTTCGCTTCCACAGTGAGGACTGCTAGATGCATAAACCAAGTTTTTCTTCAGTACATACAAGCATACATTGAGAAGGTACCTACGACCACAGCACACAGCACACAGTAGCACAAGTTTAGAATGACTTAAGTTCAAACAAGACAAGCTTTTACTTGGAGGGGAAAATATCAATATTTTCATCTTGAACGCAGTTGTTATGGGTGGGAAGGGAGGGGGCTGGCTCAAAATCCAAGGCCAGATACTCATCCTATCTACAGCTAGAGCAGACAGAGGGTATCAGCCTTTCGCTTACAAAGTACAATTCTGCACTCCTACCAACACAACAGGAGTGAAATCTTTATCTTTGAATATCCCTGCCAGCAGCGTACCTTCTGAACCAAAGATCGGTAGGTAAGAAGAGAATGAGGGGCCTCAAGAATGAATTTTTGACTTGGACAGCCATCACTGATAAGTTCAGCTTCTGAACTAGTTTTCAAGGCCTTATATTCTCCTCCTCCATTCTAGCTTCTTAAGTATTTTTTGTTTTGTTTTTTAAAAAAGTGCATTCTCCTCTGATTAGATCTACCTTGGTTACAAGCAAACAGAACCTCTTCTTAGGGCTGTGAGGTGGGTTAGAAGCCTCTCAGATCAGAAACCCTGCTTCAGCCCAGCTAAAACAAAGGCTGGGACTGCCAAGGCTTTCCCAGGCAGTTAACAAGCAGCATCCCACAGAGGTTCATCAGCCCACACTAATGGAATCATCATCACTCCTATGCTTAGAAATAGCGTACTCTTTTCCAGATATACAGAACCAAAATAAGAATAGCTTCATCAAAGCAAAAGCTAAAGCAAAAGAAAAGCATTTGGTTGGCAGGCAGCAAGATGGAGAAAATTAAATTCCCTTTTTCCATGCAAGTTGAACACTGCTGGTGGAGGAGCAGCAGGCAGGGTAACAGATAACCCGTCTCTCACTTGCTGCTGCATTAAAGGCTTTCAGTATCTTTAGCTTCTACATACAATCCCATGTTTTAATAACTGGGGACCTCCTTCCAGAAGGAAAAGGCAGATCATCAGCTTCACAGTTAAGAATACACAAATCTTATCACTGTAATACATACAGGAGTGCTCATTCCCCTGGCTAAGGCCTCCTGTACCTGAAATCGATTATGAATTACTTCAAGGTCCAAGTGTAAGTCCCTGGAAACAGCAAATTACAATACAGAAGAACCATAACCTTTACTACAACTACAAATGATCTGCAACACCTTGTGGAATGCACCCAAAATGGCGTATGTGTGTATATATAAATTTTGTATATAGACATTGTATTGTTTCATTCTTTTTAATACATATACAAGTACCTATACATATATACATATTTACAATTTACACCAGCCAGTAGATGTATGCGTATTGTACATATACACACAAACGCCTAGAATACACATGCACACACACAAACACACACTCTTTAGAATAACTCCACATCCCAGGTAACAAAGTCCTGCCATAGTCCAAAGAAGAGCAGCACCAAGTGGTGGGGGGCTCAATATACCAGCTTCAAGACTGCTTAGAACAAACACTAGCATTCATAGAAATTTTTTTTTTTCTTTTTTACACTTGGGAAATTAAAGAATGGATGGCATAAGCTTCAGCCCAGCTACAAAGAACCCTCATGCAAACTTCCCTGCTATAGTCCAGCAGTTCTTGCTGTTCCATACTGTCCTCTCCTCAGCTGAATGGGGTCCATCAGTGCTGATCTGCTGCCCTTCGCTATTCCGGCTGACTAGACCATACGTTGTATGACGGCACTGCAAACTGGCCTACTGTGATACTATGGTAGTCACCAAGTTCTGCATTTTTTTTTTCCACCTAAAAATAGAGGCATGGCTGGGGTTCAACATAAAAGCACTGATCATACTTGTCCTTTCACTACTTTTCTAGCAGCCCGCGGAACAGTGAAAATGGACTTTTTATTTTAAACTATTTTCGGTTCCCTCTCCTTGCTCACACCTTCACTGTCAGGAGTTGCAAGAGGTCCTCTAGCTCAGCAAGGAAGGCAGCACAGTCCAAATGAGTCAGAATAGCCCTCTCCAGCAAGTGCCTCGGCAAAGGCCACTGTACTCCTTAACATACCCAGGCTGGGCATTATAGGCTGAGGGAGCCTATAGTGCTGCCAAACATAATTACAGCCCCTCAGTTTTACTGGTTCAAAGATAGGGCTGAGATGCAAGGGTGGACATGCAAAACATTAACAGGGCTTTATGGCAGCACCTGCTTTGTTGAACCTGCAAGAGCACCAGCATCTCTCCTAGGGCACAGGGACCCAGCACAGATGGGTCACATAAATGAGGGACAGGAAGGGCGGGCTGGCATTCAGCACTATATGGGACATTCTTTCAGCTCCTATCAGGGACTGGTAACATTGTGGGAGCCACACATTCCATCCACACACAGAAAGGAGGGATAACACCTGCTGGAAATATAAGAATTTCTGCCTAAGTACCTCAAAATGAAGAATGGCCTCTCCTCCTGGAAAATTGTGGCAGCAATACAAATGGCAAGATGACCCATATTACAGTGAGAGATGGGGGCTAGCTTGCTTCATTTCGTAATTTGTTAATCTGCTAACCATCTACCCAATCAGGCAGAGTGGGAATTGTGTCCTTGGCCAGCAGTACAAACTTCATATAGAAAATTGCTGTGTCAAATTTGTAGGGAGCCTTAAGTATCTTTACAATTTCACTTCAAACCCACTGCTCCAAATGCAACATAACTGTCCACAGTTTTGTCTACTTACTTGCCTAAGACTGAAAAAATATATTTGTTATGAAGGACTCTGTTTTATTGCTATTGTTGGTCTGCACTGTGTGGTTCCATCTTTACCATTTCAAATCCAGACTCTTTGGGGATAAAATATTGTTTTTCTATTGATTTTTTCCAATTTCTTAAAATTGTATAAAAATAAAGGATTTCCACAAATGTGGGCTAAAGGTAACCAATAATACTTCTATGCTTAGGATCAGCTGTTGGAAATGTGGTTGATAGCCACAAGACCAGAAATAAACCTCTAATGATTCTTTAGTTTAACATTTAAAAGACATGAAAACTTCTGCTTATAAAATTGACCCCATACAGAATGGAACAGCTAAACTAACAGCTGTTTATTATTACTTTTTAAAATAATGGTCCTAAATTTAAAAATAAAATCAAGTACTTCCTTTTATGATTTTCACATTATAAAACTGCACCATTCAAAATCTGTGGCCAGGGAAACCCCTTTGCAGTAAGACAGTTTCTCTTAATAGTCATCGAGGGTGTTTTCGAGGAAAACATTCCTAACATCCAGTATGGAAGCCAGCTCCAAAATGTGCTTTTGGAGGTGAGGGTTCTCCACCGTTTCATCTCTTGGCAGCTGAGGATAAGATTCTGGATAATTTCGAGTCTCCTGCTAGATAACAGTGAAAACAAAGAGAATCAGACATTCATTTATTTTTACACCCTTTATGAAGAAGATTGCAAAAAGGCCAGTTTCACTTAAGAGGTATCCTAATCTGTTGAGCATGCCACAGAGAGAAAATATTCTAGCTAGCATTTTCAGTGTTCTCTTTCCATTGACTCAGAGATGGTCACAGTGGCAATACAAATGCCCATATGCCCATTCATCTAAGATGGTTAATAATATGTTCATAGAAGCCTTGCAAAAAAAAACAGAAAGAAAAAAACCAACCCACTAGAAAGACAAAAAGACTTCACATACACTTACCTGCTAGGCTGGAGTTCATTTCTTGAAATTACAGACATGTAAGCATCTCCAGTGGGAGATTCATCTCATCCTAAAACAAATACCTAAGACACTGGGGGCAAATCTATCCCCACTAACAGAAGATCTGCTTCTTTTCTCTGATATTAAAGAAGCCTAGGTAGCTAAATTAGGCTTGGAAAGCTACTAGATGTCTGCAGTTAGACAAGATTAATATTTCTGTGCTTTGACTTCCATTTTCTGTAATGTTTAAAATGGAGCAGGCAGTTTATACGCCAACACTCACATATATAAAATGGTGTAGGTCCAGAAAGAGACTTCGCTGTTGGCACAGCATTAACCAACAGGGAGGGAAAATACCATCTTCCCGTTTAGTTTATTCATTTACATTTCAAAGACCTTTCAAAATCCATTCACACTAAAATACATTCTAGCAATAATGTTCCACTCCTCCCCACTTCCTCTTACATTCTTGTTCTATACCTTTTTAGTTGTGTAGAAATAATAATCTTGAATTCTTAAGAGAATTTTTTCCAGCAGACAAGGCTGTTCAGAGTGACATAAATGAATTAGAGAGCGTCTGCTACTTATGTAGAGGAATAAGGCTTCAGCAAGTCAAAGGCTTCAAGCCTTTGGAGAGATACAAAGGCACAGATTCAATACAAGCTGTAGGCATTAGCATGTGAGCATCAGTTATCTTTTTGAAGTCAGTGATATGCTTAGCCCTAAGACCCTTCCATCCTGAGGCAGTGGAGTTCTACATGCACTGGACTGTCATTCTCACAAAGGGACAGATATCCCTGCATACCCGGAAAATTTTGTGCATCCTCATAGTAGCCGAACAGAAGATAAATCTTGTTAGAAGCAAGCGAAGAAATTCATCCCCAAAAAACTGAAGAAATGACTGATCTGTAGAGAAGGCAAAGAAAACTCAGTTTAGAAAGGCTTTTTTTTAAAAAAAAAAAAAAAAAAAAAAGAAAAAAATAAGAGACTTGGGGGAAACCACTACAAATTCTTGTGCATTCCCCTTATTCACTATTCTGTCCCTTGGAAAGGCTGAGCAAGAAAAAACAGCATCCGCTTAAGTAGCGTGCTACAGTTCACTTGCGCATCTTTAGGCATGTACCTATGGATCGTGAGTGGGTCAGCAGCTGGGCAATATCTCGGTTGATTTTTCTAAGGTAATCTTGACACTTCTCCCACAATCCTCTGCGCATGCTTGATAATCCAGAGACAAATAGGAATGCCATTAAAGGATTGTTCAGAAAAACCCCGCTGAGACTGATCTACAAAAAAAAAATAAATCAATAGACAAAGAGATACATTTGGCACATGAAACAGAAAAGCTGTCCCTGCCACAGAATGAAGTCGCTCACCCACTAAATTCTGTAACAGAGGAACTACTCCTTTGTGTTAGTTACATCTTCTCTCCTCTTGTGGCAGATCTGTTCTCAAGATGATGCAATGACTAGCAATAAAGGCTTACTGGAGATGTGCATTAGCACCAAGAGAAATGAGATTTTCTCATTAATTGTGGGAGGCCTATATCTTCATTTTGAGCACATAACTTGAACACAAAAGTCATAACTGAAACAACCATGGAAGATACCAATTATAAATCCTAAAGAGAAGTATTAAACATGGACATTCTTATTGCATTCAAAAAAACAGGCAGTTGAACCTATATACTCCCTCCAAAGCCTACAGCTGCCCTTTTGTTGGGCAGCACAACATCCTAAAGCCCATTTACTCCATGCAGTTCAACATGATACACAGATGTTCAAGCTTCATCTCAATCAACCGGGAAGTCAAAAAGAAAGGCAATGCACATAAGATCACGTGCCCAAACAGTAAGGCCACTTCCTCATCAGCAAGGATTACTGACTTGTTTTGGTGCATTTCCCTTTTTTTTTTTTGTTGGTTTTTTGGGGGGTGGGTGTGTGTTTGTTTTTAAGGACTTGGGCACACAGCATGCATGGTATAACGCCATACTGACACAGGGGCTCAGTTAGGTTCACCTAAGGAGTCTCTGCACGGTGCTCTAGTGCACAGTGTAGCCCCCCCCGCAGAACTACAGCAAGACTTTCCTGACTGGTCCATGAGCACAATGTAAGCATCCAGTATTTTATAAAGTTAGTTCTACTTTTCAGCGTTTTTCAGCATTTCTGTTTATGACAGTACTTATTTTCTACTTAAGTTTCTACTTCAGGAATAGTTTCAAAACAAATGAGAAACTTCCACTTCTTGCACATTCTCTCATGATACTTGCCTAACATCACTATGTGGCTTAAGCTAGATCCTTGTACTTGTCTTTGTGACGGATAACAACCTTAACATGGCAAATTCCAATAAGAAAGTCTGGAGTGATTGATATTTTATAGTAGTCACAAGGACTGAAGAATATAACGTTTCATTGCCTGTTCCTACTATAAACACACCTTCTCAGGGCATACAAAGCCAACAGTCTTCCTGAACTTACCCTCCAAAATCAGAACAAGATCCAAGATTTTGCTCTACACCTGCCATTTAAAAGCTGATACCTTAACTGACTCTGCTCACTTTCTGGGACTAATAAAGCTACCCGAAGTGCTAATCATCATCATCATCACCATCACAGCACTGGGCTGGCAATTTTCTGAGTCTCCGTGTAGGAGAGACTTTGCCTCCTGGCAATTGAAGCTATCTGTAGAAATATCATCATTGTTAGAATAAATTATGTGCCATAAACAGTAACTAAACTTTATCATACTACTTCAGGGAACGTTAATCTGATTTAGGGATTACACAGTGATGAAAAGTGATCTTTTCCTGAAGAATCTAAGTTGTATTTGTTTGGGATAGATATATGGTACAACTGCAACGTGTTAGGAAATGCGATACTACACATACCTTGTAATGCTTTTGGATATGCTGTTGGAGAAAGCAAGCACACCAATGGTTGTCCAAATAAGTTTGTGAAATTCTGTAACAGATAAGAATTTTGAAGTATTGATGGTCACTTCGCTTGCTTTTGAATATTCAGCAGGTTAAGGCTACGAACAACGACTATTAATGACAGAGAACACACTAATGCCCGTCACACAGTTCAGCATTGGCAGTAAGGCTGACAAGTTGACTTACTCATAGATCACAGCACAGAAAGAATATAACCCATTATATTTTAAAGGAATTATAATTCTCTCATTTCACTGCTGCTGATAGCAGAGACTCATTTCATGGAAACATGGCTTTCAGTAATAATACATTACTTGAATAAAAAAATCATGTTCTGCAATAAAAATGAGAGCCATTGGCTTTCAGGTCAAAATTGATCTATCATCTTTCCTCAGTACCAACTGAACTATCCACTCAAAGCCCTTTATATCCCCTTTTCTTTTTAGCAGCAGGAACTATTTCTGATGAAACAGAAGAGCCCAGTGGAGAAAAGTTTTAAAATAAGTTTCCTCTAAAGCAAGTATGTCATAACCTTAATATCTGCTATACTGAACCCTCATTTTACAATACTCATTTCGTGCACCTTCCACCAGCACCTTAAATGTTGCCTAAGTGTCCTGTTGTGCAAGAATTTCTCCAGAAGCCTCAAACTACACCTTTGTCCAGTTCACCAACATTTACCTTATAACAGTCCTACTGTGTATCTGTCTGGTAGGTATACTGATTGGTAATAATTATCACCAAGGGGGAAAAAAAAAAAAAAAAATCATTTACACAACCTCATTAGCTGTCATGTGTCTCAGCAAAACAGGTTTCTTAAAACTGAAAGCTTGCAAAGCCATAGAAAGTGTAAATGATCATGTCTCATCCTATCAGAGCACACATTCAAACCATACATCCAGAGCACATGAGAGCAACACACATTTCTGCAGATTATACTCTTAAAACTGGCAGGTTATGAATGTAAGGTATAGATCACCAGAAGTATTTGCTTGTGTAGAATCATCAAAAAGCTCATTTTTTAATTCCTCTGGCTTCTGCTTAATTCAAATGGAACTTTGCCTTCTGGGCAGTATATTTCAATTAAATTAGTTTCACTGAATTAATTTGATCTTAAGTCTGCTAAATACTAAAGACAATAATCTAGTCTAATCAAAATAAAGCATTTCCCATATCTGACAGAGTGCTGACTGGTCCTAAAACCCCTTCTATTTCATTAAGAGCCCAAGGGAGATTTATAATGCTAGATACTAAGGTTTGGTCTCTAATGACGAAACAAAGACTACTACCATGAAGACAGTAACTACAGGCCAACCCAGTAATTAGTAAAACTGTACTATAAAGAAACATTTAAAAATCCAGGAGGAATCACCCCAGACATTGCCAGTTTGAACTGAATACACACCGGCAGGTTACATATTCTGAAGTAACATGAATGCTTAGTATTCATGAGCAGATTCACATGTTAAATTTTATCTTGTATCACCCAGTTAGAGACCAAAGCAGACCTTCCATACACTCCATCAGTAAAAATGACAATGCAATTAAACGCTACCTACAGCTATAAAGCACAACCAAGGGTCACTCGTGTGTATCAGGAAAGGTATTACTCACTGACAGTATCTGAGATAATTTTGGACTCTGTCCCAGCAGAGGGTAAATCAACATAGCTAGTAAGTCCTGCAAAGGGGAGAAACTACATGGTTTAACACAGAACGCGCTCTTTGGAAGACAGCTGCTCGTGCCAGTCGCCACGTCTAAACTACAGATCCAGGAGGATAAGACTCTCAAGCTTCCAGGTACCTGTCTCAGCTCTTGCCCAGACACAACTGCCTACCATAGCCCAGGCAAACACCAGGATTCACTCACCACCACCACTCCTGATTTCCACAGAAAAGTGCTGTGGGCGCACATGCAACGAAGGAACAGGAGCATGTTACAGCCATGGCTTGGAGCAGAGGACCACAAGGTGCACCAGAAAAACCTGCCCTGCAGTCTGGATGTTGGTAGCAGCTCTGGATAAGGAATGGTGTACCTTTCAGTGCATGGACAACTCCAAAAAGGGGAAAAAAATTTTTGTTTCAAAATTGACTCTGTTTTTCTACTTCAGCATTCAAGTTTTCCAACAGAAGCGTGGCTGCTTTGTAAAATGTGCCTCTCATACATCTCTTTCCAAAAAAGAACTATTTGTCATCTCCAAGAAGTCACTTCACATGTAAGCTTTACTAAGCCGAGTACTTATACCACATCACTGACAAAGGCCTTGCATTCTTACCCGCTGGAGTTTTTGATTTGGTTTGGGTTTAAGACTTTGCCTTTGACCATAATCTTAAGACAACCACAGCTACAAGAAGATACCGATTTTCAAGTATTATTTTATCCACATACACAGTGGTAACCTTCAAGAACACAGACATCTATATTTAAATGGAAGTGTTAAAAAAAATTTCATGGCTTTAAGTAGATATGCTTGATTTGCAGTTATCTTCCACTTTCAGCTAAATATATAAGGGAGGAAGCTGTTCAAGTGCCGCTGATTTGACAAACTGGCAAGCCACTTCCTGGCAGGACTTACTTTCAGTCATCACCATTTAAGCCCTCCAGAGAGGGGGAGAGGATGAGAATGCGTGCAGGAGAGCAGAAACGGCTTGAAGAAAAAGATGCGTGAGCAGTTGCTGTTGCTGCCAGTATTGCTAGCAGTGACATTTAAATGTCAGGATAGCTACTGTCCTATCAGAAAAGATCAGAGCAGCCGTGTGGAAAAAAGTCAGTACACTGCCTTCAACTTCTGACACAATTGCACAGAACCTTTGTTTGTGCCAGTGCTTGGGTCTACAAAGCATCTCACAACACGCCCAGAGGACAGTCACAGGACAGCACTATCGGTATGTTCTGGTGACAAGGAACCAAGCACATAAGCACGCACAAAATGATGACAGACAGGAATTTACAAGGGCCAGAAAATACCGAGATTGAGAGCTCTGCCATCTACCTTCAGTTGTAAACAGAACACAACACCTAAACCCATCCCCACGCATCTATCTGCCTAGGTTTAATGGCAATAGATTGTGAAGGTGAATGTGTGTTCTCAAATGCTGAATATATTTTTTAAAATAGGAGTCTGTGCTCTTTTTTTCTTTATTCTCTTTTTAGATTCCTCACAATTGTGCCCACACAATTCTGACCTGGGTCAGAGCTCCTAGCAGCCACTTCCATAATCCTGTCCTGAAATACTTCCAAAACTCACATTTCTATAGTCCTTACATACAGGCAGAGTTGGACTTCTCTCACACCAGCTGCTCTGTGTGGGGTATTTTACACCACTGATGGTCAGTTCACTGCAGAACAAGGAAAGAAACTAAATGAAAGTTACAGTTTCTGCTTACTGTGTGCCCACAAAATCTAAAGAAAATTCAATTATCAAATTTAAATGTAAGACAAAAAGCAAATTCTACTGCAAACACTTAACAGTTATTCTCACAAGAGCTACAAATCTACATGTGGGAATCCATCACCTCAAAAAGATCCTTTGCTCTAAGCTGTCCACAGAACCCTGGTATGTCCAGAGCTGTGTATGAATTCAGGATCACCAGGAATCCCTTACTCTCTCTTACAGAGCTGATCCACTTGACATCTTTCAGCAATTCTACTAGAGAGGAAGGGGTAAAAAAACCCAAACCAAACCAAAAAACTAAACCCAAGCCACACTTTTTACCCTGAAACAAAACCAACCCCCCCATGTTGTTATACTGGAATGAATGTCAGAAAAGAACAGAAGAAACTAAATCCCTACCAAATCCTCATTTTCTCAGAAAGACAAGTAAACCATTCCAATTGTATTTCCCTCCCTTTAAATGGGGAAGGGAATTTAATAAACAGCAGATTGGCGCTGAAATCTAGTGTGGTGAAGGTAAATGCAGTAGCATTTCAAAGGGCTTTTTAAATATATTACACTATAACAAATCAAAAACCCTATAGAGAGGCCAGACCGTTATTAAGACTGTCAGGTAAAAGTTCCCTGGCTCCATACAGGACTATCCCAAATCATACTGATCACTGATTTAGTACCTCTCCCTGGCCAACAAATGCCTTTAAAACAAACGACACTGACTGTGGATACTGAACAAGGAACAAGTTCATCTGGCCACTAGACGTCCCTATTCCTCCTCCGAAATGCAGCTGTGAACGTTCACTTTTCTCACTGCAAATAATGGAGCTATAAAAAGGAAGACATAAGGAAGTGGCACTTTCCCCAGATACAGCACATTCTTAATATCCCATTCATGAATGAAGCAACTGTCGTAATGCTATCCAGATGCAACTGGCAACTGAGATTGAAAATGCCTGCTTCCGTATTACCCGAACTGCAGATTCCCAAAGGTGATTTGGCATGGAGTAATTCTACTGTAAGTCCATAGCACCCTAGGAAGGGGGCTCATTGTCCAAGCATATACCACTCTACAGTAACACTGGATGCTAATTTGAGTCTTGTTATTTCCTTGGTTCAGATACTTTTCAGACACAGACACCCCGTGTTTTATAAGATCAGGCTCAGTGCTTTGACTCCTTTCTGTTGCTTAAAAGCAACTGAGTGTTGGATGACTGGAAAAAAAAAAGGCAGATTAGTTATCTCCCTCCCCCACACACACACACCAAGATTTGTCTTTGGTATATAACAAAAATAAACCTCCCACCAGAGACCTTGGAAATCTTGAACCTTTTTTCCCTCCAGGAGGATTTATTACTTTCCAATGAGCGGCTGTTCATGTGCTTCTGCTTCTTGTTCCTATTCATAGGATCAGATCCTGACTAGCATGCACAACCTCAAAAGAAAAGAAAGACTGAATACAAACTGTTTAAAAAAATAGCCCGTTAAAAGTGTAAGCTAACTAGGGGTTGACACTGTATCCTATCATACGAGTAGCTGCCTTCAGGAGCCTTACCTTATAGGCGACACTGTTTGAGGAGTCCACGATGATAAACAGGGGCTTTCTTGTGAAAGGGTACAGATCTCCAGGGTGAAGACTGAAAAGAGAAAGGGACGCTTCACAGAGCGCTAGAATTGCTGCAGGACTGCGACAGCACGCAAGTTTCTCAGACATGCAACTGGCCATGTCCAGATAAAAAGCAAGCATGTTCCTCATGCCGCAGCCCTCAGATTCATCCTCAGAGAATAACTGCAAAACTGGTTTGGTATTCTCTGTAACACGGGCTATTGGACTTCTTATTAGTTCTTTCCCAGGAAGAGATGTTATCTGTTTGAAAAGTCATCCACCATTAATTTGAAGTTTTCCAGTAATAAAAAATTTACATCAAGTCACAGTAATACTTTTGGAGTGTTTAAATAATCAGAGTTGCATTTTCATTTCTAACTGTTCAAATTCAAGCCAATCTACATTATGATATCCTGCACTGAAGAGTTTGAATTCAAGAGGCTTTGATGCATTTTCTCTATTAAAGAGAGAATCTCTACAAATTCTGAATTTGCAGTTGTCACACTCACAAAACTTACCAGTGCATCTCCTTGTAAGATTGGTTTCGCTTATGGATAGCATCCCCATTTATAATGTCCCGGTTACTATTTGTCAGAACACCACCAAAATCATACGGACCTATACATAGCAAAAAGGAAGATGAAATTAGCAGAGGTAACTCACCTCTGTTACGGATTGAACGATTATATGAAAGGGAGGAAGCAACCACAAATCCCAGAAAACTAAGGGAATCTGAACTATTGTAGTTGTAAGGCGGGGATGGAGGAATGTGGAGGCTTTACTAACTACATATGCAATTTTATGCATTTTTAGGAGTTTCAGCATCTATCAAATAGAAGCAAGCAATGCAACTTCGTAACTTCTAATTTTCTTATTCACTATTTATTCACAAACACCACAAAAGATCTAAATATTGGCTCTCATTACACTACATAGCAAAAAGATTAAAACTCATTACACTTTTCATCCAGGAAAATTAATACTTTTCTAAGATTACTCTAAGAGCTAGCATATTCTAGATTCAGATTTTGATCAAAAAATAAGGCTCAATCAATCAAAAACCCTGTAGCCTCTCAGAATAGATATACTACTATCATCTGCAGTTTTAACACTGCAAAGGGGAGAAGAGAGCTCGGAGAATGAATATGCTTTCAATACTGCTAGAAAGGACAAAACAGTTTTAACCAGATTTCAGATCTGCAGCAAAGGTTTATTTTTTTAAGATTTCAAATACAGAATTCAGAGTTTTTAAATGCACACAGCCTGGACATGTGTTCCTAAGGTAAGCTAAAGAAGTATTCTGCTAAGTTTGCACAACTGAGCTACCCGCCTAACTGTCTGATGGAGAGCAAAGATGAAAGTAATGGCTATAAAAAAAATGTGCTAGAGATACCAGGAAATATTTCTGCCATTGATATGGGTATGAAATGTCACTAACATTAGTAAAATAAAGTATTAGGATTTCCTCATCTGTTACACATTTGCAGAGTTGGTTGACTCATATTTGGCCACCAAATGCAATTTTTTCAGGTTTGGTTACATAAGACACCTTTCCATTTTAAGGGAAGCTTTGGGAATACAAAATTAGGAACAGAACATACATTAATTCAGCACTGTTACAAATGTCTCATGTGAACTGTCAAACACAAATGGCTTACAGGCGATAAACAGTGCAACTTGCAGCTGCTTTCCCTTTTAATAAAGGTAGAACTTTTTGGTCTGTGCAGACTACACTACCTTATTAAAAGAATGCAGTTGTAATGGGATTCATTTAATGAAAACTGAAGTCTGACCATGCAGCTCTTCAGATGACAGAGCCTGGATGCCTCTACAGTAAGGTATTAAGCTGAAACAATACATGCAGTGAAGTGGACACAACACAGGCATTAAAGAACATGGTTTAGTTAGAACCTATGACCAAGTTGCAGCAAAAAGTAAAATGTTAAAAGCATTTTAAAAAAATCACTGCCACAACCTAAAGCTGACAGGGATTTTTTTTTCTTTAACATTTTGAGAGCTCTATAAATCATGCATTGGGATGGACAAAGCATGCATCTTATAAAGGAATGCAAGTCTCAAACAGATGAGGTGTGTACAATATTTAGGATGTTAAAAACGTTTTCTTTTTTTTTTTTCCTCCTTAAATTATACAAACAGATCTTTTGACTGTGTCTACTTCAGCCAACCAGTTTTCAGCTTTTAAATTGCAGCTGCATCCAAATATTCTGCTAGGTTGCGAAGAACAGGAGGATGAGGTGAGGGGAACTGTCAAAAATCATGAGAAGGGCTTGAATTGTCAGGTTAACAAGCGTGCAAATAGAACAGTCCCTGCAGATGCTTCAGCCCTTTTACCACCCATCTCCTGACCGTATGTTCTCATAGTACTGGAGATTGGAAAGAATCACAAAGTGCCATTTAACCATTTTATTAACTTTGCCCTGATGCATCAATTGAGCCATGCGGTCTTCAAAATTGGTGAAGTTTTTTATACTTCAGATGCATCAAAATGGATATGTCCTTTGAAAAGGTCTCAGGTTAGTGCACACTACTTAAGACACAGGGAATTAACTATTGTTTGTGGAAAAAAAAGGCTAAGTAGGTAGGAGAATAAAATTGACTTGTCTTTTAAAAGGAGCTTTGTGACATCTTTCTTGGTCACTTGTCCTGGAACATAGAGAGAATTCAAGCCCTGTTCATGACAGGGAGCATTCCTTTATTGTACCTTCACTATCCGAACGACCTGATGGAAACACGCCCGTGGCAGACAAGTATATCAGCAGTACACTGTTTGCAGGCAGCTCCTGAAATTCAAATAAAAGAGAATAGTGCCAAGGGAAGAAATGTGTTAAGTTTATTTTAATATTCAATCATCACGTTGATAAAACCACCATCATTTAAAATAGTGCTACTCCTGCTTCTGGCTTCCCTTTACTCTATTCTTCCTATGTGTATATACTCTTCCCCACCACATACACCCCTGGCTGAGTAGTACACAGACAAAAGTGTAAACTGATGATATGTTCATACTTTTTTTCTTTCCCCACACAGACCTCTAGGCTGATATTAGAGGTTCAAGCAGCACTAAAAAAAGCATCTGCTTCCACATAAGACTCTCTTACTATCTAGCCAGATCTGAGGCTTTCCAAGATATGGAAACCAAAAGCTGCCAAGATCCATGCAGACCCTAACTCCCAAACAATTCAGGATCCTAAAGGAAGTTCTTTGTTTCCAAATACCCCAGAGTCTGCAACATCTGCCTCTTCCCCCGACCCTTCTCAGCTGGACAACAAGCACAACACATCCAGGTTTCTGTATGGACCTGTAAAAGAGATCTATTTTCCACCTTTCTAATGGGCTGTCTGCATGAGGAAACAGATGCTTTTAATTTCTGCAAAAGGCTGAGCATGCAGGCGCCCAAAATTCTAAGTAGTAAGGATGCACTTCCTTCACACTTCACCAGCTGTTTCTTTACAGTTGTGTCTTGAAACAAACTGAAACTTGTTTCTTTATAGGATTCATATTCTGGTTTTACTACTAAATCTTAAGTTGCTGACTTGTACAGTCATAATTAAGCATAATGAGCCCAGCAACTTTATTAAATTAAGCACAGCAACTGTATTAAAAAAACCCTGCAGATATATAGATTATTTACATGGAAAAGTAACGAAATAAGTTAGGCAGATAAGAATATAGCACGTGCAGGAGAGAGATACAATTCAAAATGGGATACATAACTGGAGACCTACCAGGTATACAGTGCTTAAGAGCAACAGTTTGACATACTTCCCTGATTCTGGGTTGTGCTTGGCACAACATGAAGTAGAACACCACTCTTAAGATTTTTCTGTTCTCCAGATCTCAAGAAATATTTCCTATATTAT